ATGACAAATGTGCTACCTGTGCCTCAACCAAATAGACATGTCTCAAACTCTATAAGAAGTAGTCCTCAGTCAAGTCAACAGGGCCTGTCATTAGTCACGAGATACTGGCACATTATGTCCAGGTTATCATCCTATCTCAGTCTAGGGACACAGACACGGTCAGTCAGTATGAACTCAGAGTCAATGAGTCTGTATCCGTACAGTCCTGGGTACAATCAGTCCTGCAGGTCCAGTACAACCAGTCCTGCAGGTCCAGTACATCCAGTCCAGGATTAGTGGTAAATCAGTCAGGGAGCTGAACAATGGGGCCTGTTCACCCATTAATTGGTTCGTTCTTCCAAGTCATTCAAGGCAGTTGGCCAAAGTCAGTCCAATGGTTTGTTTATTGAATGTCAAAGGGCGTTATCATGGGCCAGTGCAATGGTGGGGATACTGGGAAGGTCAGAACTAAAATCTGAGTGCTGGAGAAACTCAGCATATCAGGCAGCATTTACAGAGTTTCATATTTCCAGTATCCACAGTATTTTGCTTCTATTAGATTGGGGACATCAATTATGTGGATTGGAGGCATCGTACTTGAATGCAGCGGGGGGCAATAATTATGAATTGGGAGAGTTCAACGTACAAGGCTGTGAGACGAGACAGCACGGAAGGATAAGGAGTACTGTGTGAAGGAGAGGGTCACTGACAATCACCACCACCCTAACTTCAATTTGGGGTGGGGTCACTGATTACCTATGTATGGCTGGCAATGCTGTATACCTGGGGCTCGGTTAAAGTGTAAAGAAGAGTCAAACAATTATTGTGGTACAGAAGGAGGCTGTTTGGCCCAACCTGCACTGGTTCTATTATTTAGTGTCAATCTCCTGCCTTTTCCCCATACCCCTGCACATCATTTCTATCCAAATAATTATCCAAATGCCTCTATTGAGCCAGCCTCCACCACATTTCCAGGCAGTACATTCCATACTATAGCTATTTGCTGTGTGATAAAGTCTTTTCTCATATGACCCTTGCTTCGTTTGCATGTCACTTTAAATCTATGTCCTCTCATTGTTTTCTAAGTGGGTACAGCTTCTCCCTATTTACTTTATCCAGCCCGCTCATGGGTTGTGTAGAACTTTATCAAATCTCCTTTTAACCTTTATACTCTCCAAAGAGAATGATCCCAACTTCTTCAGTTTATCCTCATACCTGCTTTTTCTCATCCTGGAACCATTTTTTAAATCGCTTCTGCATTCGTGCCAATGCATTCATAGCTTTTCTATAA